ATTGATATCATATTCAATTCTTCTCTCCTTGAGCAAGCTCAAGATGGCAATGGCTGATATCACGAGAATGGTAAGGTAGAAGGCTCTGGCAGCGGAGTACTTCTGCCTCGGGCGAGTCCGCGATGCCTTCTGCACTGGCGTTGGTGCAGGCATTTGTAGGGACATAATGAATGCATTATGGGATAAGGCGCCTTGAATGGGAAGGTAGGTCTACTGAAGCAATTCCGATTCGGCAGAGCAGGCCGTAGGTGAACACCAAGTTCAACTTGTTTTGTGTCGCGGCATCAGCGGGATGATCTCCGCTACGAGTACGAGTAGCCATTGCCAAGCCTTGCAGGCTTGAGCCGCGCCAGGTCCAGGCATGTCTGGTGATGTGATGTGATGCGACCGAGGGAATACACCAGTCTCTTCCTCCTGCAATTCATCTTCTAATCCAAAGTATCATTGTAGAAGGGAAGATGTCTTCAGAGACAGATCCTCTTCTACCTCGTGGGAATACAGCCCCTGAAATATCGGGCTACGGTTTCTCAAAGTCTTCCCAGTCGCAGTATCAGATCCAAAATGAAGTCCTCGACTATCCAGAGGACATCGAAAACAAGAGCGAGCAAAAAACACGTCTGAGCTATGGCGATATCTCTCCCCTCCGAACCCTCCTTGTTATCTTTATTATAGTCGTGGGTCTCGCAATGTTTGTTTCTTTGCTCATACCCGATGCCTTCAACCCTCCATGGAATAAGGCCCCCGAAGACGACGACATGACAGTCAAGGCCAGGGTTGATAAGATCCTAGCAGAAACACCTCTGATAGGTCGTCCAGCTTTCTTCCTTCGTCATTGTGTTAGCACGAGCTCTAACAGCAGGATCAGATGGTCACAATGACCTTGCCTTCTTGATACGTTACGCTTTTCAGAATAACATATATGACAAGAATTTTACAGACAAGTGGGAGGGCGGTGGAATGCCCGCCCAAGTTGACCTTCCTCGCCTGAAAGACGGCAGAGTTGGAGGAGCCTTCTGGTCAGCCTTTGTACTGTGTCCTAAAAATGGCACTGACTTTTCGGATGGGAATTATGCTGAAGGTCAGTCATCAACATGCTACGTGTGCTGTCTTCTAACATGTTGTGTGTGAGCGCTTTTGTCTCATCACACCAGAAAATCTATGGCAAGGACAACGCTTACAGTAGACTACAGCCGTATCCACGACACTTTCACAGCTGGATCTTCTTCGACGCTTGACGGTAGCCTACCCGAAAGTGTTCTCCTCCTCAAATATCGATAGTAGCAGTGCTCTGGCTGCTTTCAAAGACCACCATCAGCTCATCTCGCCAATAGGTATAGAAGGGTTGCATCAAATTGGCAACTCGTTTTCAAACCTTAGACTTTACTACTCGCTAGGTGTCAAATACGCTACACTGACGTGGAATTGCCACAATGCTTTTGCAGATGCAGCACTCACTACGGACTCTTCGGGGCGGACTGTTGCAGGTCACGTTTACTGGCGTGGTCTGAGCAAAGCCGGCCGGGTCATGATCACGGAAATGAACAGATTGGGCATGCTAGTCGACCTCTCACATGTCAGCAAGGATACTATGCTGGACGTCTTGGGAGCTCGTCCGGAGAAGGGTAATGGCAGCATCGCTCCTGTTATCTTTTCCCACAGCTCGGCATATGCCCTGTGCCCACACCCTCGTAATGTCCAAGACGACGTGCTTAAACTAGTCAAGAAAACGAACTCAATCGTAATGGTCAATTTCTCACCCGACTTCATCTCTTGTCTCCCGTCAGACTCCGAGACTGGCATACCAGACTTCTATCCCCCGAATGCTACTCTTCACCAAGTCGCAAGACACGTCACCTACATTGGGGATCTGATTGGCTATGACCACGTTGGCTTGGGAAGCGACTTTGACGGTATTCCTAAGACTCCTGAGGGATTAGACGATGTCAGCAAATACCCGGATCTAGTGGCCGAGCTTTTGAAGATGGGGGTTTCAGACGTGGATGCTGCTAAAGTGGTAGGACTGAACATCTTGAGAGTGTGGGGAGAAGCCGAAAAACAAGCTACGAAAATGCAGGGACATGGCGTTTTGCCGGCGCAGGACTTTGTCGAGAAGATTTCGTTTCCATAAGTAGCCATGACGTTTGACGCTCTGTCCATCAGATTCCCGGGACTCTGATGGCGACGGTGCGCAGGATGTGAGACGATTGCATCAGGGCCATGGTGAATAGCCGTAAGCATTTATGTTGGAAATTGTTAGTCCCCAAGGCCAAGCAAAGTTCTTTCCAGGTCATTGATTCCCTGATCGCCACGTTCAACGGAGTCCAACACATGCTCAAAACAAGGACTCGAGTAAATCCAACATAGCACCGAAAGATCTTCCTACTTCAGGTCCGTTTTGAAGTTGGAGAGGTGACAGTACCCTTGTGAGAACTTTTGATGGAGGCAAGTAATCATTGCACTGCCTAATTCCAGCGTAAGAGTGAATGTTTGCCATTGGAAGTGTACCATCCGACTCGTCTACTTTTAGGGTGCTTTGGATTAAAACAGTGTCTAGAATCGTCCAGAATGAACTATGTATGGCTCTGCTATCAGATACATAAAAGGGGCAAGCAGGATACCAATGCGGAGTCAAGGGCACCATTAGAAGCAATGTCTATTAGTCTTGATCCAGTGTCTAAACGGCTGCGAGTATAGCTCCTATGCTGGGCTCACGCTGTTCGCTGTATCCTCATCCTTCTATGAACTCAATCATCACAGTGCCATTCTTCAAGCCCGCTTGCTCGATGGTATCGTCCAGCATCTCCACCAGGTTCTTCTGCATGAAGATCAATTCAAACTCCAGACCCTCTTTGCCTTCAAGCGGGCTAGCTTTCAGCCACTCGAATATTCTCCTCACGGGGTCTGTAAGCGCAAACCTCCTAACCACTCGACCGTTTGGATGACGAAATTGGATTCTCGTGATACTGGCCGCGTCCGGAAGTGGTTCATTGTGAGGTTTTGACGAGGAAATCGCGGTAAACAGGGAAGCAGCCGCTAAGGCTGATCCGTTCGTATGTGTGGGCTCCGAGACATCCATCAAGTCCGAATCCTCTGGCTCCTTTCCCTTTCCTTCAGGCTCATTCCCCACATTTCCAACACTGCGTGTCAATTCGTCAGGGTCAGAATCTCGTCGCCCTTCAGTCCCTGCAAGACTAGCCTGTAACGCCATTTCCATCATCTGTTCCTCAGTCATCCTGTCCACTTGTGTCTCTTTCTTTGCTTCTGGTTTTCTTCTCACCACTGGATTCTTCGCAGACGCCTTCAGGCTGTATCTGTCAAGGAACTCATGTAGCTGCATAAGAAAATCCATCGCTTTCGGCGTGGGTGAACCTGACCAAACCTTGACTTGTTCGCCCGTCCTTGGGTCGACTATGGCAATGTGAGGGTATGCCTCTTGGTTATCCTTATTCTGAAAATAGTATTGCACGTATTGGTTGCCTTTAGGGTCATCCTTCGAGTACTGCATAAAGATGAAGTTTTCCTTGACCGTGTCTATAATTCCAGGATTCTTCCAAATGTCCCGGTTCAGCACCTGGCAATCGAAGATGGATGGGTCTTGAATGTTGACCAAGATCCATTTCTCACCATCCTTACCCTGCTGTCGAGCTTGGTCCCAAGGTAACCTCAACATTAACTCGAAAGGCGGTCGATACATTTCTGCAAGTAGATTTGACTTGGAGGATGCTTCTGATGCTCCTGCCGTTGCTCGAGCAAGTTGATCTCGATGAGCATCGGGGCGACTATCTGCATTGTTCCATATTGAGGGTGTAGTGGCTTGGTTGAAGATACCATGACGATCTGTGCCTGTCAGTATTGTGGTCAAAGGTGTTGTCAATGTTAGGAGAATTGCTCACCTCGATGTCTTGGCGGCTGTCTTCTGGCTGCCATTTGCTCCATGACCGCCGCCCTCATCTCGTCGTCATCAGTGGGATCAAAGGATCCCGGGCCAACGAGAGTCTCTGTAGTTCGTCCTATAGGTGCTCTGTATCCGTGCTCATCCAATACCTCTGCACCAACTTCACCACTCCTACCTGCTGCACCGTAGAACTCTTCTTGTAACCTTCGAGCTATAGCTTCATCGTCATCAACAGGCATGGATCCTTGGCCTGCCAGAGGAGTTGCGTTGGATGAGGTTTGCAGCGCGGATGTTGCTCTACCCGCCGTTGAGAGTTCTCTCCGGTTTTGCCCTGCGGTCTCGGCGGCATTATCATCAGAGTAGTCTAGATCTTCTTGGTCTGAGTCCAAGTGCACGACGCCTTCTTCATCTTGGTAACCTCGCTTATGTCCTGTGGGTCGAGTCGATGGTGCTGGGATTGGTGGAGGATGCGAGGAGAGCGGAGACTGTGATGAAGGCTCCAAATCAGCGCCCTCGTTGGCATAGAAAAGCTCGATGGCTTGTTCTGTGTTATTATCCGCGAGGCGTAGATACTGTGCAGCTAGAGCAGGTGAAGAGCCTGTGATGGATGCGAACTGTGCTATCGTGTCCTCATCCATGTTGCAATACGTAGTGTAGTCTCTATGTTGTAAAAGGAGTGATGGGAAAGGTGGCGTGAAGGACTCAGAAAGTAGAGTACAAGAGCTGAGTGTAAAGTTTGGTAGTCAAGGTGCCTGGTGTCATGTTCATGCCTGGGATTTCCGTTGTGAGGAGGAACAGCTGTCAAGGCCTTGAATGAAGAGTTGCAATCATAGAAGGGTATTCCACCAACAGGTGACGAGGGGGGTGTGTTCAAGGCTCGGAAGGTAAGGTAATCAAAAATATCACTTTACTTTGCTTCACTTTACTTTACCTCAGGAAGACTGGTCAACCTGCGATACCTGTAGGATAGTACAGCCGCCGCGTCATTACGGGTATTCGCGCGTCTCTTAGCGTCGGATTTTAGAGTAGCTTGCTTCACTGACTCGACTGGGGTATTTGTACACTCAATCAACAACTGTTGAAGTATGGCCGAGAGACTTTCATAATGGAAGAGTAAGCTGAATGGGCAATTGTGTTTATTCTTGTAAGCTAACAGGTCTAGTTCCCCGCGTCTCCGATCGCAAGCATTGCGGAAGATAGCTTCACTGTCTGCTACATCAACAGAAGCCTCCAAGAAGCCAGACCTGACCAGACTCTACCATGCTTGCCCTTCTGCCGAATCACCCCACTCTGCTCACTCCCTTTCACAGTCTCCAATTAGCCTGTCCGAGCTTGACGTACTATTTGCTTTGTGTAAAGCCGCGCCACTGCTGGATCATGTGGACAACGCAGAACGGCTTCTCAGGCAACTGTCACCTTACCTGGGTGAGGCACATGCTCAAGCTATTGCCCCCTCGCCTTTCCTACGCTTGATCAAACCATCACCATGGGAAGCACTCAGCTTTAACTTGACCAGCGCTCTACTTGTAATCGGAATTCGGCATCCAGACCTTCATGACCCAATTTTTGCCTGCATAACAGGATACTTACGCAACTGCCTTAGCACCGTCAACGCTGCTTCTGGAAAGCGCTCCCACTCTGAAGGATCCAGCAGCGACAATGGCATTGAAGAAAACCTTGAGATTGCAGCCGTGTCAGTTTCCCTTCTGGGATTCTTAGAGGCTGCTTCTCTCTACACAAACTTCTACAGTATCTCCGAAAGGTATGACTTGGTAGAAATACTTCGACAAATACTCGATGAAGATCTCATGGTTTCAGTGGAGGGTGTTTTCTCCTCAGTTCGCACTGCTGAAAGTACTTCGAGAATTTTGATGGACTGGAAGTCATACACAAAACGTTATGCCGCCTCTGGAAGACCGCTGGGAGCGATGCTTCTACAGCGTGGATTCATGAGACTATTAGTGTCCTGCAGTTCGTTACAAGTATCTCCGGCCGAGAAGTTACAGAAGACAGACATTTTCGATATAGTGACGGCCGAGGAAGATTTCACTCCTCGCGAGCACCAGAATGCCACCACGTCTCTGTTGGAGCTACTGTCTGATGTTGCAGCTGAATCAATGCGTCTACTCGAAGACGGATCCGACTATCTTCAGCTTGGCTCCGCGTGGCAGCAGCGGCTGGCCTTTGCCGTCAAAGCACACACTTTGCACACTTTCCTAAATTGCATGATAGTTGAAGAGGAGATTGCTGACGCTGACATTCTCCTGTCGTGGCTTGAAGATACTATGGCTGATCCCATTCAGATGGCTGATGATACATTAGCATGTGTCGTACTAAAGTCAATGGCTGTAGTTGCCAAATTCTCTCCTGCGATCGCTTCCAATCTTAGTCGCTCGCTGCCAAGATTCATTGTGCAAGGCGGCGTCAAAGGCGAAACGGTCATCGTAGCCGCTCGCAGCTTGACATTAATACTTCGTATGTTGCCACCAGATGCGATTATCACGGGCCTCTACTCGCTCGGCAATGTCCTAAGCGCTCGAGCCGGTACCGACAGGACTATTGGTAGCTCAGACGTGCTAAATGGGACTGCAAATGCTTCTAGAACCACTGCACAATATACCCAGCATTCTACTGGTAGTGCCATCTCGTTGGACTTAAGTGGCGAGGAGGAGGCTTCCGCTGCCTATGGCAGCATAGTGCGTACCATTGTCAGCATCGCAAACATCTGTCAAGACGACAAAATTACGGCACTGGCGCAGTCAATGCTTCTACAGAAGCTCGGGCGAGTGAGCTTGACAATAGACCTACATATTATTACGGAAACTGCCAGACTCGCCACGGTTGGGGGTTTCGTCGAGTTCAGATCGCTGCTTAAACTGTACGCCAGACTAGGTCACGATGCTATCATTCGAGGTAACCAGATCCTTTTGGACACGGTAAGTTTTAACTCACCTTGACTGCCTTTTTAGTACTTACCATTGCATATAGGTGAGGAATGCCAGACTGTTCATCGCAAAAGCCTTGGGCCATGACTCGCCCTTGTATCAGATCTACTTGGTCCATCTGCTCGAGACCATCGTCAGCAAGGGAGACGTTCATGAAAGCGACAATACCCATCAGGCCGATGTTGATCTTGCCGCTCGAGAAATCATAGAGTTGCTCCCGCCTCTGGCTACTCTTGCAACTGTCAGAACAGACAAAGAGGGTATTAGCGATGACGAGAATGTTGCACGTCTCCATCACGAAGCATGGTTCAACGTGGTTGTGCACGGCATCACCCCAACTTCCTCATACGGCCAAAAGTGCGCCAGCGAGCTACGTACTCTTGCAATGCAGTCGAGGCCGCTCATCCCTGAAGATCGCGCTGATCAGTTCGAGAGCGAAATCGAGCTCAATACTGTACTGCGACGAGGAATGAATGCTCCCCACACTGCAGAACAGAAGAAGCGTCTCATTCTCCTACTGCCAAAATGTGAATCTGATATTAGAGGCTTGAGCTATCCGAAGGTTATATTTCTCAATGCTGCATACCTAGTAGAGACACTAAGGGCAGGTGCGGGTGATTGCTCTCATGTCCTGACCTATTTCTTGGATCCGAGTCTCAATGGTAGCGCTATGGAAAACTGTATGGGAGCGATAGCAGACGAAGTTATGACAGTTTACCTGAGGAGAAACATGACTGCACCTCACCAAGACAATTCAGCGCCCTTGATTGCCACACAGCTAGCATCCATGTTTACTGGCTGCTGTCACCGAGTTCCTAGAGTACAGCAAGTCGCTGCTTCTTGCGCTGACAAAATCATCGGTCAGATGCCCTCTTCTCTCTGCCAGAAGTCCTCTCTCTTTGCTCTTCTAGAATTGCTTTCAATCATGTGGACCAGCTGTCTCGAAGCAGAGCTAGATGAATATGAATTGAAAGCAAATTACGTGTCTGTGCGGGCAAGAGTGTCAGTGGAGCTTTCGGATGACTACGATCTTCGAAGAAGCACGCTCAACAACCTCTACAGGCGGGCAAAAAAATGGGTGACGGCTGTCATTAATATCGCGCCTCTCGATGTCAAAGGGTTGCTACAGACATACCTTTCTGAGTACGATGATGAGGGAGCATATGGCCATGTGTCTTTAGGTAGAAGCTTCGCATTGGATATGGGTTCCGTCATACCGTCGGCGGATCAGAAACTAGCAGTCATTGACCATCATGGGGAGTGTAATATCAATACCGCCTCCGATTTTATTGCTCAATACACCACACGCCAGGAGTATAGATATGCCGATGGTCTACCTGATTACGATCAAGAGTGGGCAGCCTTTCTGCATCTCAAGGGGAAGGCAGACCAACCTGCAGACGGGGGTACAACAGAGGCAGGGGATGATGAAGCCATTTTGGCTCATCTAGAACGTCGGGCGCTGAATAGCCGATTTGTTTCTATTGGGGAGCTGCGTGATATACTTCGACGGGCCGCGGCTCTTCTGTGCAGAACTAACAAGGATCAGTGTGCCATCGTACAACATCTTGTAGGCATACCCTTCGCAATGTTCACCAAACAGTCCATTAAACTCGGTGTATCGTTGTGGCTAGGCGTCATAAACGAGAATCCATGTATGGAGCCAAGACTCCTTGCAATAATTGCAGAGGACTGGGAGAAGACTGTAAGGAATCATGTGGGGGTCTTCAGCAGCAAACTCCAACACCTTGACCCGTTCTACATCAAAGAGGAGTTTGCGCCTTCGGAGAAGACCGCCTTGATGAAGAAACAGCAAGCAGCTCACAATCTGATTGCTCCTCATCTTCGAATACTGCAATTCCTCTCCAGCCACTTTAACGCCGGCCGACTTGGGAGTCCAAATTCGCAGCGGATATTTCATAAGCTAATAGTTGGGACTCTGGAAGGACTGAAAAGTTCTGCCGGACATCCTCTAGCTCGTGAATTCCACTTTCAAGTGATTCTGTTTGGGCTCAACATCCTCAGACATGGGACCAGTATCGATCAAGCGGCCCGATGGAGACTGAAAGATACGATCCTAAGCGCTGCGCTGTCTTGGTTCTCTCATCCACCACGATGGTCATTTGGAGGAAATCGCCTGCAGATCAAAGCGGAAGTTCGTCTGATGGCCGATGTTGAATCCGCGTTACGAGTTGTATCTCCTCTCTTCGCGAAATGTATGGGAACACTGCAATCGCTTGCTACAAAACAAGACTTACTCTTGATGCTGGTCGAAGACGAGCACATGCGTTTGGTCGTTTGGCTCTACCCGCTTGATCACGAAAAGCGACACCTTTTCTCGTCGGGGCACCACGGCAAAGTTCCTTCAGATGCAATGCTCTCCTCGGTGTTGAGGACTGCATGGACAGAGAACACTAGCCTTGCTGTACAACTCACTGTTCGCTTCGTATCCTCAAAGCTTACCGGCGAGGTTCGCTCGATGCTTTTGAGGTCTCCAATCCGTGCGATTGCAGAGCCTGACGCACTTCACATTCTCATCGGGCCTTCGCTGCCAGCTGATATTTCAATCCATCTCAAGTATCTGCTCTACTGGGCTCCTGTTAATCCCATTACGGCAGTCACGTTCTTCTTGCCGGAATATCGCAACGACCCGTTCATCATCCAGTATGCCATGCGAGCATTGGAAAATCATTCTGTTGATGTGACATTCTTCTATGTTCCTCAAATCGTCCAAACACTCCGTTACGATGTACTTGGGTACGTTCAGCGATATATCATCGAGACTGCAAAATTCTCGCAGCTTTTCGCTCACCAGATTATCTGGAACATGACTGCAAACGCTTACAAAGACGAAGACTCAAGCATCGAGGACTCGCTAAAGCCAACGTTAGACGTGGTCAAAAACAGGATGACTGCTAGTTTCTCGGGAACAGATCAGTCGTTCTACGAGCGAGAATTCTCTTTCTTCAATGAGATAACGGATATCTCTGGCAAGCTTCGGCCTTTCATCAAGAAAAGTAAACCGGAGAAGAAGCAAAAAATCGAGGAGGAGTTGCGGAAGATCAAGGTTGAAGTAGGGGTTTACTTACCTAGCAATCCTGACGGTACCGTGATCGGCATTGATCGAAAGTCTGGTAAACCCCTACAAAGTCACGCGAAAGCGCCGTACATGGCCACGTTCCGGATCAAGAAGAACCGCGGCGGTATGGAAGGGACAGATAATATGCTGGAAAGGACAAATCAAAACAAGGAGACAGGCCGAAACGGACCAGTCACGCAAGAAGATACCTACGAAGTTTGGCAGTCAGCTATATTCAAGGTAGGGGACGATTGTCGGCAAGACGTGCTGGCCTTGCAGATGATTGCCGCATTCCGAGGCATATTCAACAACGTCGGCCTGGATGTCTATGTCTACCCGTACAGAGTGACGGCCACAGCCCCTGGGTGCGGCGTTATTGACGTTTTGCCCAACTCGATATCGAGGGACATGCTAGGTCGAGAAGCGGTCAACGGACTGTACGACTATTTTGTGTCGAAGTATGGTGCCGAGAACTCAATCAGATTTCAAGAAGCGCGAAACAATTTTGTCAAAAGCATGGCTGCCTATTCGGTGATCTCCTACCTTCTCCAATTCAAGGACCGACATAATGGAAACATCATGGTAGACGACGCCGGACACATCCTGCACATTGATTTTGGCTTCTGCTTCGACATTGCCCCCGGTGGCGTCCGTTTCGAGCGCGCGCCTTTCAAGCTCACCTCGGAAATGGTGGCGGTGATGGGGGGCAGTACGTCGTCGCAGTCATACAAGTGGTTTGAGGAGCTTTGCATCAAGGCATTTCTGGCCTCGAGACAGCACACGGAGAAGCTGTGTCACATTGTTGTGCTCATGCTTGGCAGTGGGTTACCGTGCTTTAAGCCGGAGACTATTGCTCATCTGCGGCAGAGGTTTGTGCTGGAGAAGAGCGAGAGAGAAGCGGCCGACTTCATGAGGGATTTGATCAAGAAAAGCTACAGCAGCTATTCGACCAAGGGTTATGATCAATTTCAATTGTTGACGAATGGGATACCTTACTAGGGCAGTGATCTGAATGTTAATGTATGATAGCTTGACTGGCCATTCTCTTACTTGGCGTAGTTGAATTGCTGGCTGCTGATGTTCCCGTGAGCTGACGCATGTCGTGCAACATTCTTGTGTGAAGCGGTTACAATCTTCTGCGCAACAGTAAAGCGCTCATTCCACATATATATGGGGAACTCTCCGGGGCCCCGGCCGGAGGACAGTCCTCGCAAGCTTAACATCGAGCGAGTCAATCTTTCGCAGCGAGAGGAAATAGGTGTAGGTACATCAGATAAGGTAGGTAGAGTAATCAAAATAGAAGGCAATAGAGTAATGCTTGGCTGCCGCCCCCCGCTGCAAGGTACGTACCTAAGGTACTGAAGCACGTAGAATAAGGTACTTGTAACACCGGGGGGGGGGGCAAAAGAGGGCCATTGTCAGCCAGTAGTTTGTTAAGGCTCACAATACTACCTATCTTAAAGTACCTTATCCACTTATCCACAATAACACACACACACTCCATGGCAATGGCGATAACTACCGCCATACTATACAACGTGACAACTCAATTCCGACCATTTTGACGCCCTGAATCCAATCCAATCCAATCCAATCCAATCCATCATGCCCATTCGCCGGCCTGACTTTCGAAATCTCAATCTTACAACCCTGTGCACCCATAATGTTTGACTGTCTTCTCAATCCGCGTAGCTTCTGAAACACTCTCTACCGCCGAACCCTTTCACACCATAACCCACAAATCCTTGACTCTTGAGAGCTTCCTCCAAGCACTGCACAAGGCACGGCTCCTGCCGCTTCCTTGTCCTCTTCCACATCTGCTTTCTATACTTTGACCGCTGGCAAACTGACTCGGAATACCACGTAAAGCTCCCAATTTCCATTGCCATTTCCATTTCCATTCCTTACTCCTCAGCTCTCACACCACTCTCAGGCTGGTATAACCTGGCGTCTCTCACGCCGCTCCGTATGTGTCTTTAAAACCACTGCCCATCACGGCTTCATGATTTGACGACTTGACGACAACGAATCTCCTTTCTCCAATACAATTAGACATCTGCCTCTCACTGGTACGTTATACTGGTAAGGACAGCAGAATCCGGCCGGAGGATTGAACTCCTCAGAAGTCAACACAGAGGCCCAGAAGTGGTGCTGACGTCCTTCCCGCGACAATCATTTCAAAGAGCTTGGGCCAACACAGATAGAGTACACGGTCTCGCAAATAGGCCCAGCAGGATCGACAGAAGCTGTGCAGCCATGGCGGCTGCGGAGATCCGTACTGGAGGTGGGAGCGTGGACCCGGAAACGCTGTACTCGAGACAGAACTGCATCGGTCTGTTCGAACGCTCCGTACCAGCTGCGACGTCTCTGACATGGCTTAGGTGGTGGCAGCTTTGGAAAGGTGTATAAAGGGTAGGCTTCGCTTCCACCAATGCTGGTGACCCATGCTCATGGTCTTCTCTAGAGTCGATCGACGGACTGGCCAAGCGGTGGCCATTAAAATTATCGACGTCGAAAACGCCGAGGACGAAGTCGAAGACATTATTCAGGAGATCTCTATCCTATCAGAGCTCCACTCGCCCTATGTCACGAAATATCACGGGTCATTCCTGAAGGGGTCGGATCTCTGGATCATAATGGAGTTCTGCTCGGGTGGGAGTTGCGCGGACCTCTTAAAGCCAGGCCTGATTGCTGAAGAGTATATCACTATAATCATAAGAGAGCTTTTGATGGGGCTGGACTACTTGCACTCGGACAAAAAGCTACACCGAGACATCAAAGGTAGGATGTCGCGCATGTCCCCGTTCTCCATATCGAGCAGTACCTGATGCTATCTTTCTTCTAGCTGCCAATGTACTCCTCGGAGCCAACGGCCAGGTTAAATTGGCAGATTTTGGTGTGTCTGGGCAGCTGTCTGCCACCATGACCAAGAAGAACACCTTCGTAGGCACACCGTTCTGGATGGCCCCTGAAGTCATCAAGCAGTCAGGCTATGATCACAAGGCAGACATCTGGTCTCTCGGTATTACCGCTCTCGAACTGGCCAAAGGGGAGCCGCCTTACTCTGACATTCACCCAATGAAAGTTCTGTTTTTGATACCCAAGAATCCGCCTCCAACCTTGCAAGGAGATTTTAGCAAAGCTTTCAAAGACTTTGTCGATCTTTGCTTGAAACGTTCTCCCCAGGAGAGGCCGACAGCCAAAGAGTTGCTGAAGCATCCGTTTGTTCGTCGAGCAAAAAAAACCACGTATCTTACAGAGCTCATTGAACGACACGAGCGATGGCAAGCTGTGCATGGAGATCAAGATTCAGATGATGAAAGCGATGATTCAAGTCAAGAGAGTCAACATCCCAGAGCCGACGATGAAGACCTATGGGATTTTGGCACTGTGAGACCCGCAGGTGGTAGAGGTGCTGGTCTAAAACCTATGAATGATTCTGCAGCGAATACAAGGGCATATAACGGGTCAGCGTCCGGCCCATTCCATAGAAGTCCGGAGCGGAAGTCTCGCGACGATGACTGGGATAATCCGTCTCAGACCCTCGAGGATACTGTTAAAATTACATCCCCATCCGGTCAGCCGCGTGGCTGGTCACCGCAGAGGAAACCCTTAGTGACTACCGGGCCAGTGTCACCTGGCGTTGCAGCCAAAGTACCGCTCCCATCATCACCAGCAAAACCTCTACCAAACAAACCATCTCTTGTGCAGACACCATTACGTCCTGCACCTGCATCACGCACACCCCAAGACAAACATTCACAGACATCCGAGAATGATAGAGAAGTGCGACCATCACTAGCTAAAGATATGGAAATCCTCAATTTGGGTCCTGCCCTCAATGCTGCGCTCAGATCACCTCCATTCAAGCGTGACCAGGACCGTTCACCAACGGCGAAAAATGCGCCTACGCATTACGATTCAAAGTACAGCCTTCCAGAAATTCCACCCTATCACTCGACTCCTGAAACCGATGTCCAGTCTCTCCAAACCCTCCCAGCTCTAGCGTACAATCCCAATCAGAAGCGTGGTGAACAGCATTACTCACCCTCCATCCAGCAGCAGCCTCTGCCCACCAGTTCGTTTGAGGACTTTCTAGCTTCCAAGCATTCGTCGCCATCGCAATCCAAGTACCATGATCGCGACGCAGGGGACCCTCGCAAATCCGGTGACTCGACCAGCTTTCCAGCTCAAGATCCGAACCGAGAACCTACAGCCTCATCAGCAGTGCTCATCCCCGCCCTCAGCGCAGCCCTCGAGCGTCGCACCCACATTCTCAACGAGTCCTTGCAAGAGAACGCGGACAAGGCTCGCACTGCGACGAACGCAGAGCTCGATGCCATGGATCAGAAGGACCAAAAGCGCAAGAGAGCGCATGAGAAGCTAAGGAAGTACGTGATGAAGGCGGCGGGAGTCTTTGCCGAGATCGAGAAGTGGGACAGGGAGGAGCAGGTGGGAATGGGAGGCGAGGTGCAAGAGTTCATGGAGGGGTTCCTGGAGGAGATTCTGTTCAGGGTGGATGATTCGCCTATCCCCGAGGGGAAGGGGCCATAGGGGGGGGAGAAGGGAGTCCTTTCGTCATTGATGTAATGCATTGCGGCATGTGTCTGTAAAGCGGGAACGTCAAAGTGGAGCGAAATGCATAGTTGAGCAGGTCGAGAGCAGGGACGGTTTCCCCATGCGCATGTACATCGGGCGTGCGAGGGCAGGGATACCATAGCAATCAAAGGACCCTTCGACCGGTATCAAGAATGGTCGAATGCAAAGCGAGTACGGTCCGCCTACCATATCTCACAAGCGGTTCTTGAATGCTTTCACCCAGGAGAAGCTCTCGATCATTTCCCTCAATGTGAACATGTCCCTCCACTCGTACTAGTAGCGACGCCTAAACTCAACGCGCGCAGCTGCCAGGGAAAGATAAAACGCTCGAGGTCCCATCCGAAGGCGAACGTTCCCTCGTCGTAACTCTGGAACCCCGAGTCACCCACCTGTATTCTGCGAGCGATAATCGGGGCGTGAATCCCTACGCTGGTGACGTCGGAGTCCTGGCCGAGCGAGCCGGGCAGGCCAGGTCTGGGACGGGTGTGAAAGGCGATCGGTTTACGGGCCTACGGATACGTGAATCGATTGCGACCAGCGAGAAGACGAGGAGAAGGCCCGAAAAGCGGAAGGAGGCCCATTTGCAGAAATCAGTAGAATCTATCGAAAATCATTCGTCGCAATGCGGCAGTAGGCATGGGGAAACAACGATGATAATTTTTTTTGTTGGTCCTCCTACGTATTATACTTCACCTCATACTCTCAACCTCAGCCAGCAATACCCATCATGTATATATCCGGATCGATCCTCTATGTGTGTACATGCCCGCGATATCCTTACCCTTACCATACACAACGTCTCCCCACGCTCTTATCACGCATATATGCCTGCAAATGCGCCCCCCCCCGCCCGCCCGGTTCATTACAAGTATGTCGGCTTGTCCACAGTCGCGCCCAGCTAGATCTACATCGCGCTCCCATGATCATGCCGATGCAAGTGCCCGACATTGGAATGGCAAGGCGGGGGAAGGGAGCGAGGTCATCTGTAAGTCGCATTGAAACATTCCAATCGTTGCTTTAAGTCCCATAAGTCCCATATGTCGTAATCGTACACATCTTGACTCGATGACTTCGTGAGCAGAATGATAAAAATGGTTTAGATTTGCTGGCCAGCAGCAGCATCGAGAGAGGATAAGTGCCTCCATCTGGGGTTAGTAGGGTCTCCCGGGCGACCAAGCCAGTGCTGGCTGCGGTCCTTCCAATGAGGGCGATTTATGGAACATCTGGACCAGCCTTCTGCCAACACTCGTCTCAAGTTCTGTACCGTCTCTTGCGATCTTGACTTCCCTGTTGGCATTCCAGGGGTTCCTAAGCCCTCGGGTGCGATAAAAGGGCAGTCGGTTGGTGGCAAGCCATTCAATCTTGAATGGCTTGCCAAAAGCCTGCGCGTCACTCGAAAGGGCGGCATCATCGGCGTCTTCCGCCTTCTCCGCAGCTTGTATCATTTCATCGGGGTCGTCAATTTCATGATCGATGATTGGCGCGATTTCATCGTCCTCCGGGTCAGCTTCCCAGAATATGGTGCCTCGGGCAGAGTCATCAATGATACGGCCCTTGGGCGCAAATTCCGTGGCCGCCGTCGGTATCGATCGAGGAACGTCGGGATCATCAGCCACCTTTTCGCCTCTAGGAGCCCACTCAAGCCCTGCAGCCGCTTCATCGGTGATGGGAGAAGCCATGCGCGCCACTCCGAAATACTCTCCAGACTTGTTTGCCGAAAAGATGAGATATACATTTTCTGATGTCTACTCCGGGTATAAGCTTGAGCACAACGGTAACGTGGTCTATTGCTCACCTCATAAGCCTTGTTTAACGCATCTTCATTGTGGGATTGAGTCGCCCAGATGCTGTTTCGCACACTCAATTCCATGTCTTCTACTGTCAGACTCTTTAAGACAAAGTATTTATCCATGACCTTAACGGTCGGCTCGCCTGTGCGCGTAGACTCAGCAGCAGCCTCCTCCAAAGCTCGGAAAGATACCTCACGGTTCTGCTTAATGGCTTCAAAGGCCGTCTGCATATAGGTCACAGAGGGCATGAGGGCTGCAGGTCCTGTAGGAACCCCTGGAGCGGAGGTGTTGGAGTTTCTTCGTAAACGGCAAACCAACCGGACGCCTTGAAATCTTGAGTCGTGGAATCTGCTCATCGCAGCCGCACAAGCCCCCTCGCTTCTGTAATTGACAAATGCGCAATTGCTTTTCGAAATGAGGAATACGCTCTCAATATCTTTGGTAGCATCTTTTGAGAAATGGTCTTTGAGGTCACTGATCACGGTTCCTGACGGAAGGTTTCCCACCCAAAGTGCATGGCCAGACTGCTTCGGTTTGCGAGGCGGTCCCCTTGGCGATGACGGAACACTTCCCGAGCTCGAACCTGAATTGCCTCTGCTAACCGCTATAGCAGTCGTTAGCCATGACTTTGAGGCGTAGAAAGATCGCTTGCCTGTCAGACTGCCAGGTCTCAGATATGCCCCAGGAGATCCGTACGAGGAATACGGCATTACAGTACCCGGCGGATAGCCACTGTGCATCGTTCTACCAGCCATTGCGGACACGTCTCCCCCTTGCTGCCCATACGCATGAGTTGACCCAGGACCATAGGATGTGGGATAAGACCCATGTTGCGGCTGGGGAGATTGTCCGTACTGCCCTGGGTAGTATATGTACTGCTGTTGCGATGTCGGAAAATAGGCACCGCCCGGGTAAGAAGAGTGAACAGGGTTGGGTCCACTTGGATGAGAGGACTGTGGGCTGGCCTGCAGTTGACCATAAGCTTGCTGGTAAGGGTACTGCGGGGGGTGCACGGGATAATTTCCAGTGCTCAACGGCGCTTGGCCTGGAAACTGCTGAGCCTGGTAGCTTGACGAAGTACTTGAAGTGCCCGCTAAGAACCGCTGTGAGTCTTGATGCGACATCTGAGAGGAAGTGGTGTTTTGGTATTCTGGCAGCGCTCCGGCCATTGCGGACATACCAAACGCGCCTGGAGATTGCCCTCGACCCATTTGATAGCCTGTGGTCTGTTGTCCCGGTAAATTGAAGATTTGGCCACCCGGAATTTGGTGCTGAGGAGTCGCCATCTGCACCTGGAACTGGTAGGGAACATTGCCGGAGGAAGCATTTTCTGCTATTTGGTCAGCACTCGAGGGGAAAAGAAAGGATAGAGACGACAGCAAAATGATGGGAAGAAGAAAAGAAAAGAAAAGAAAAAGGGAAGGGAAAAGCCTACGGGCTTGAGTGGGTCTTTCCCTCTCGCCTAGTCTGGTTTGCGCCGAAGGTTCCACTGTTTGGGACCCTGGTGGCAACCCTGCCCCGTGCACATTTCCTTCCACCATATTTCTATCTTCGACAATTACCGGCAGGACCGCCCACTGCTGAACCCACAGTAAAGGCATGTCAGTATTCATGTCCGAACTTGAAAGTAAAGGAATACATCGAGGGCCCCGCGGGGAAGGGGCAGTTGAAGCTATACCTTTCGCTGCTACCTCCTATATGTAGCTTGATAGCCTCAAGCAATCGAGAGTCAACCCGTGGCGAGGATCGGAGAAGTTGAGGTCCGACTAGATGTATTTTCAAGGCTGCCAGAAGATGCTGATTCGAAGAAAGAAGGAACGGGTTTCCTGAATAGGGAGTGAGATGTTCATTGACCTGTCCTGTTGCAGCAGAATCTAGTGGCAAGCAAGTGAATAAGTGATGGGTCTTCCTCAACGGGCGTGCCAAGTAGATTTGCGAAGCAAGGTGAAACACGATTGGATTGTACGCAGGAAAGAAAGTGACAGGCGGGCTGAAATTAGCAGGCGAATGGGAGAAAGGGCAGCAGCGAAGGGTTGAATAGAGGCCATTCGGCGGGGATGAATGGATAGTGACAGGAATAGATCAACTTGACAGCAGGCCCGGTGGAGGAAACTATCCGGCATTACTGGGAGGGGTGAAGATGGCTAAAGACCCAAAGCATTGTAGGTTGCACATACCCTTCGCTTCAAGTGATGGTGGCGAATATGCGATGCTGACTATCGATTGGTTGTTTGCCTCATGACCCCGGTTGGTTGATTCCCAGTTTTGAGAGGTCGGACTAGATGTTGGTGCATGAAGCTATGAGAGCTGAAAGATTTGCAGTGGATCTTGGTGGCAAGCAGCAAGCCGCAGGGAAGAAGTTGAGAAATTCGGAGAGGCAGAAGTCGAGGAGAGGCTGATGAGGGACGGAGAAGAACGAAATTGATTTTGTTGATTTTGGGATATAGGATTTATTAATTAATGAGTTTTGAGCGAGTGTGGATGAGCATGAGTGGTTCGAGGAAGATATAGGATCCGGGGGGGGGTTAAATGATTATACTTACAACTTAGCATTTTATCTCATCAATCAAGACTAATAATAAGAAAGGGAGGAGGAAGATGTTTACTGCGTCACCAGTGTGACTGTCTTCAAGTGGCAATTAGCAAGGGTGAATTGATAATCGGTAGGCAATAGGCCCAGCCACAGCAGTTTGCCCATCCTTTTTCGCTCTAGATCTCCAACGCAGTCCAGACTTTTCTTCATAGACCCTGAGACCCTTGTTTTTTGGAACATAGGGCAGGGATGGCGCCTGAGGCTCAGCATCTCTTCTACTTTACTTTTCACACTCCCAATCCCCTCCCCCCCCCCCCAAAGAGAGCCAGACATGCCTGTCACTCATGCTTCAGCTCCTCGCTGCTTCCGTCGTCGTGTCATTCATTCATTGCTTGCCATCATCCCTAGCTATCACCTCACCACCATTCTTGCCACTCACAGACTCAGAGTGCCCGGCTTACCTAGTCACGAAAATTGGCAATGACTTTGACCTAGCAGGCTTCTGTCTCCCTAAAGTACGGAGGTTGCTCCGATGTAATGTACTAAATCCAGTAGCGTACCTTGCCAATCTCCTTATTAGTCCCGCACAGGCGTCTTCCCTGGAATCCTTCTTGCGCTTTTCTGCTGATCAAACGCTTCCGGAAATGCTTGTCCACCATTGCCTTCCTTGCAATTGGTGCATTCCTGCGACAAATCCAACATGCCGAATATCAACCTGTCCGACGTGCCGTACTTGGCGCGCCTCGAAGCTGAAGTGTCAGACGTGTGGAGTGAGCTTTGGTGGTCAGGCTTCTCCGTGCCTTTTCCGGCTGCCTCATGAACCGTATTCGCCAGAGCAACCAAGTGCACGACGTCTTCCGTCCATGTAAAGTATTATTGAGGAAAGACTGGCAAAGAGGGATGGATCTTCGGTCTGCGCGGGCTGCGGGTCAAATCATCATTTGGCTTTACACAAATGTAGCAGCGGTTGCTTGCTACTTTAAGAAACCGTTGATGACAGGATCAGCGACGGGGTGGACGAAATCGGCAGTAGTAGGAGGAAAAAGGAACTTTAATGAAGACGTGTCTGGAATCTGGATACTTTGGTTCTGTGGAAGTCGCGGAGAAACGGGATCGGCGAGACATCAAGCCTCCAAGCGCCACAAGGATGCGGTACAGTACAGGGATGCAGGATCATTATATCACGTACTCTGTAGGGGATTAACGACGATAATCAATGACATACTAGGGGGGCGGTCACGGAGACTCTTTGCTTTTGCTCTGATAGCCACTTGGGCTTTGGAGAGAGAGAGTTCAACGCCACGCCGATGACATCAGGTCGCATATGTACTCTCACAATCCGCTTTGACGGTTTGACCATTTCCATGGGTTTTTGTTATCGGCGGGCTCGGTGAGCACCGCCTCTACGAATACGGTAACATTCAGGGGGGGGTTTTTTGGTTTCCCTTTTTCTCCCGAATGGCTTGAAGATGGAGGTAATGACACTTTCTCAGTGGGTCCCTCGGGTATATGAGCCACTGAGCCACAGGTCCTTTTGGCAGCAAGGGCCCTTGGCAACCTCGGCTCGGTAGCCGAGCGAGCGCTGGGGACAAGCACTGCCACGAATGCCACGATCACGATTCAAAGTAAGATGCCGATCTTACATTCTCGAATGTCTCGAAAGTCCAAGGCCACGAGGCTTCAGGGGTAGATTCTAAATGGGGTAACAAACTGCTCGGTGGCTGCACCAGTCTCGAGTGTGGCACTGGCACTGGCACGGGCATGAGATTGGCAGATGGCACCAGAGTGGCGTAAGTACAAGTACCTTACTTTGTGCACGGAGCAGCAACATGCGCTCTTTTGGGAATCGTGATTTGGTCAGGCGGCAACCATGCCTTTTGAAGGCCACGGTCGCGCCCCAGGTATCGAATGTCGTTTCATTAATTTTAATGATTGTAGGCTTTGCGACGGAACGATTCACTATTATCATTGTAGGAAGTAGCCCCCGCTGCAACACTCACGTAGGAAAAGGAAAGGCAAGGAAAGGAAATGCCGTACCTTTTTTGTGGCTGATGAATTTCTACTTCACATACTCTCTAGTCCCTACCCTCACCACCATGTACCCTGCCTGCCTACCCGCTGTGCATCGGCACCACCGGGAAAGGGGAAATGTGGGAGAGACCATCTCCGTGATGCTGTAAATAGCACCCCCTCAAATCAATCCAAGGCATGCCCAATTGAACAAGGTACATGTACTTCAAGGTTCCTCGGTTGCCTCGATTAAGGTACGCAATGATACATGTACTTCAGCTTCCAGTACCGGGCCCGGAATGCCTAGACCCAACACACCTAACAGACCCAACATGTCTTGCCTCCTCTTCCTGCCTGCCTGCCTGCCTGCCTCACTTGACCAGCGAACCCAACGGCAGCTGCGACTGTAATTCCTTCAGCAATTCTTACATTTTTGGTGTAAGCTTATAATAAAACGACGCTTTGCTAATATGATACACATTCACTTCTTGGACCACGCCATCTCGCATGCTATCGGAAAATGACTTCTCATCCTCAGATTGCAACTGATCATGGACGAAACTAGCCGCCTTTCCACCTACATCCCGTGCTATGCCAGCAAGTCTCTATCATACTGATTAGCCGCTCCCACACTGGTACGGCTCCAGATGACTGCTCGGCACACATTTACTACCGGCACCTTCCTCTTTTTCTCTCTGTGGCTGACCGACAAAGGCTAGTTCTTCGGACGCTCGACAGCCAGCTGTGATCACGCTCACGGTGATTGGGCCTCACCGAGCCATTCCGACATGGACGTTCTATGGCATCTCCCCGTCCCCCACTGAGGACGTTTCGACCGTCTCCATGGACGTCATAGCAAGTGATTATGGACCCGCCAAATAGAACTCTCGATATTTTGTTGCAAAGAAGCATTGAAGGTATAAGGGAAGGGGAAACCTCGGCATCTCTTTTACAATGTCCATAGCCTTGTCTGAGAGGCTGCCCAGTGCTCTGGTCGTGCAGGACATCTTGAATCCAGCCCAGGTTTGGCTAATCCGGTCTGGGTCTTCGTGACGACCCCAATTACCAGAAGGCCGCAGGGCAGGCCCAAAGCATCCAGCTGAAAAGAGGACTAGTCCCGAATGATTTGGAAGATAACTGGAACTCAAGGAATACGGACAGCTTGACCAACGCTTCCAGTCTCGAAAACTTCCACCAGGCCTGCGCCAAGGCACTCTGCCAACGTCCAATCAAAGGAAAGCCCATAAAACTGCTTCCATCTTCGAGTCCGGCTTGGCAGAATTCCTGTAAATTCGCCCCTGTATTTCTTTGCTTTGGCAGCAGGGTCATCAGCAGATATCCCCCCATCCCATTTCTCACGAAGGAGGTAAATTGGGATTTCCCGAAATTTCGACTTGATGGCAAGAGAGACAAGATGGGAACGAGCAGCACTCAAGAGCTATAGGACATTTTGGTGTCAGCATTTCTCCATCAGAATACAAATTGAATTACAAGACAGGTATTGAAGTGGTAACGAAGGCGAAACAAAAGAAGTACTCCCGGAAAACGTCTTGCGACTAAGAAAGGATTGTAGATTAGGACAAAAAAGCGCCGTACCTTCAAAAGAGCGCCGGTGCCTGGCAGAGACAATCTCAGTTCTACTCCCTCGCCAAACGGCTCCGACGATTGCTGCTCAGAAGACCTCTCCAATTGGGAACTGCTACGCCGGATGCCACCTCTTCCCCCAGCACCATATATGGCGCCTTCTCCCCCAATAGCAGCCATGGAGCCAGACGCTGCTTTTGCAATAGTTGAGATTGAGGTTAAATTTCCAGGAGGCCCAGAATCGGGGCCAGCAAAAACGTTCGTGGAATTCAAACCCTGAACAGAAGATGTCAGGAAGCCGGCACGCATAAGTGCTGTAATCTCTGCTGACGAGAAAGTACTAGGTGGGATCTTTAGAGCCATTGGCTTTGTCCGGAGACAGACTGAGAATTTATCTAGCATTGAGGGTCACTGTCTGCGGGTCGAATTTACAAAATAGTATAAACGTACCCGCCAATTCTTGACTGAGCTCCTCAGCTTGCCTTAGTAGACTTTCGACATCTTTCGAGAGTATCAGGCTCTCGCCTATACTCGACCCACCGGTGCCTCGTCCAGGAGTGACCAATCTCCTGACAATGCCAGCTCTTGTCAACTCTGCAATCTCTCGCTCCGTCTTGGTGGGCGATTGGGTCAGAGCATGAAGATGGGGTAAAGTGACAGTTGGAGGTAGAGATTTTCTGAAATTAAGGATCTCTGCAATCCTCGTACTGTTGAAACCCCCATCGTCTGGAATGGCAGTAAACATATGGGAGTGCACGTATTGTATTGATTGAGCCACATCTCGTAAGGAGAGGTCAGATGCTAATGACTTTACAATGCCAATATCGTCAAGACGGTCTCCAAAAAAACCATCATCGTTATCAGCGACGTCCACTTTGGACTTGGAGCGCTGGATTGGTTTCCTTTGAGTGAAGTCGGTAAAAGGCGACGATGCAGAGCGTCTTAATAGCTGCTGAGGTCTTTTCGATATGCGGGAAGAACGTGCGGCTGGATGGCCAAGAGGCATGATAGAACATCAATGTTTGATGAAATATCGATAGCGGATAGCGTAGAAAACAGAGAGTAGGAGGTAGAAAGTCGAAAGTCGAAAGTAGAGAGCCTGGAGATGTGCAAACCATCAATACCACTCTTCAACTACCATATTCGCGGCGTATTCACGGCGTATTGACAATGCCTGTAGGGTACTACTAGTAGCTGTCTGCCAAGCATGCCATGGTTAGCCTTTTTACCCGACGCCGTTTATGCAGGTTAGCCAAAGCATCAGGTCAGCTTCGACCTCATCGCTCATCTGCTTCTAGCACAGCTGGAAAAATTTATAGAGAAAATGGCCTTTCGTATAATTCTTGACACCTGACATCTTCCGACTTACGACACCGTCCAATATCCTCTGGCCGCAATGGCAACAGCTGCAACACTAAACCAGGAGCCTTTTTTGCCCGCAGAACCGAAGCAGCAACATCTGTCGCCCAATTCATATGTCGATGCAGCTGGGGGAAATGTTGACACTTTCTCTCAGAATGGGAGACCTCCTCCCGAACTCTACTCTGGACAAGGCGAGGATGCGACTCCACGAAGTCCTAGGCGAACTTCTCACAAGAAGTCTACATCATTGAAGACGAACGGCATCTCAAAGGAGAAGAAAGATGGTCAAGTAGTAGTGGAGAGGTACGAAGATAAGGACGGCGAACATCTAGTCAGCATCAGGCAGGCATGGGACAGAGGAAAGGGCAAGCCAATGGCAGCAAGGCGCAACAGCGAGCTTGTTAGTGGACGAAAAGCCGGAGCAGGCTGGGAGCAGAGCCAGTATGGCGACCTCCATTCCGCCATCATGCCTGTCAACTGATCATTTGTGCAGTATCCACTTCGCTCCCCTCTCGGTTCCTCTGAAAAGACGCCTGCAAACTCTCGTTGTCCTTGGGCACACTCTCAGCATTGCCTTGCTTCTCGGCACCTTCTTCCTCCTCTGCGCCATCCCACTATTCTGGCCTATCCTCGTTCCCTACCTCATATATGTCCTATTCTCCAACGCTGGACACTCTGGCACTCTATCCCACCGCTCCAATTTCCTTCGATCTCTTCCAATCTGGTCGCTTTTCGCTTCATATTTCCCCGCCCGCCTCCATCGCTCCGCCCTTCTCGCCCCAACACGCAAATACATCTTTGGCTATCACCCGCACGGCATTATCTCGCATGGGGCCTTTGCGGCATTTGCGACCGAAGCCCTCGGATTCTCCCAGCTTTTCCCGGGGATTACAAATACTCTCCTCACCCTCGACTCTAATTTTCGGGTTCCTCTGTACGTATTTTCGGAGTTCATGTTCTTCTCTTTTGAACCAGATATTGAGTCTTGAGACATGTCTTGGGAGTCTTCAATTTCTCGACGTGTTCCAAGGCTCACTATGCCCCCTCAAACAAGCAAGACTGACCCTGAGATCATAATGCAGATACCGTGAATACACATTATCGATGGGACTGGCCTCTGTATCCCGAGAATCTTGCGAGAATCTACTTTCGCGTGGTGGTGCAAATGGAGAGGGAATGGGGAGGGGCATCACGATAGTCGTGGGTGGTGCTCGGGAATCTTTGGACGCACAACCGCACTCTCTTCGTCTTGTGCTCAAGCGCCGTAAAGGTTTTGTCAAGCTTGCCATTCGTACAGGCGCAGACTTGGTGCCCGTCCTCGCTTTCGGCGGTACGCATCTCCCGAGTCCAGATCTCCTTTCTTGAACCAGATTTTTAGTTTCGAGATATCCCTCATTGTTCCAGATCCCATCAAGCTTCGTTAGGCAATGCTGACTTTGAGAATCTACTTAGAAAACGAGTTGTATGATCAGGTGCAGCCCGAGCAGCACCCACTTATTCACAAAATCCAACTTGTGATTAAGAAAGTCTTGGGCTTTACTGTTCCCCTCTTCCATGCGCGAGGTGTATTCAATTACGACGTAGGCATGATGCCCTACCGACGGCCGCTCAATGTCGTGGTGGGCAGGCCAATCAAGGTGCAGCAGGCAAGCAAGCCAGAGGAGACATATGTAGACGAGCTGCATGACGTATATGTTAAGGAGTTGGAGAGGATATGGGAGGAGTGGAAAGATGAATTTGCCAGGGAGAGAACCGGAGAGCTGCAAATCGTCGAGTGATTGAGTTTGTACAACATAGCAAAAGAGGTATTCAAGGGCTTCCTCATCTCCATATTGCCATCTTCGTGGCCTAAACCTCCAACAAGCGCTGCCTTCCTTCGTAATGTCGTTCGATATGGTACAAGCCGATGTGGCTCTAGGCCGAGTGAACGCCTCACCAGTAACACATCAAGAAATACAACGTCAACAAGCTATGGGTCCCCTAGTCTCCGTTCACACCCGTACTAGTACCATCCTCCCGCCTTACGATAAATGGGGGATCTTTGCGAAAAAGGGGCCTACGCGTCTTGACCCAGCCAATGAATAGCCCGACATCCTTGACAACAGCGGAAGGAACCCCCATCTTTTGGGCCCACATTGGTAGCCAGCCTTTTGCGTCACTAGCTGTAGCCATGACCCATTCAACATTCTGGTCCGGGAGCATCTGGCAACGCTCAATGCTCGTATAGACACTGAAGGAATGTCAGCAATTGGACTATTCATAGGGATGTTGGATTAGCAATCATACCCAAGAACCGGCTTCTTCCGCTTCACTGCGCTGTCACCTTTACGCAAATTCCTTCCATTGCTGTACATCGCCACTGTTAGACCCGAGATGTCCACTGGGATCTGTACAACAACAAAAGAGTGCTTTCCCCTTTTCGCAGTGACGACAAGGACTGGAAAGACGCGGTTGGAAAGCATAGCCGGTAGTTCATGGCACATTTCGTGGACTGCAGACAAGATAGTCAGCCAAATTTCTTCGGAGTTGCCACTTCAACTGAAACGAGAAACGCTGTGATTCTCGAGATGGCCGATGTGAAGGAAAAAGGTCGGTAGAAATAACACGCTTACTGCTCATGCTTAGGTCCCTATAATTATCAATAGCTGACCCATTCGCAATGGCTGACCCTATTTGCTCGGACCAATCAAGCACTTTATACGAATCGAAGACATCTGGCGTATACTCTCTAGTGTGGTTGTCCAGTCAGCAGTTAATCTCTCCATACGGGAAGTGGAGTCACAAAATAGGCGTCTCGAGTATGAGATGAGATTACCGATATCGTCCGAAGAAGAGGAATTTGGGGCTGGGGAAGTCCTACTGCTCATGCTTCGAATGGTCATGCCGTAAGCCGAAGTCGAACTCGTCGAGGTCTGCAGTTCCTTCGTCGCTGTGATTGGCATGGCGACTCCTCCTGGCAAACCAAGCTTCGGCAGGTTTCCTCCCATTGGACCAATTTCGCGGAATACCTACGTAGAGTCCGGAGTCAATATAGCTCCTTCGAGGGAAAGCGAGGGAAGAGATAGGTCTTGGTAGACAAAGAGAGGTTCGCTCTTGATGCACTGTGTCGTGATTCGAAATAGGCCAGAAGTTCCTTCGGGATGTACCTACTGGAATTAATCCAGGGAATAGCCTGAATCTCTGCCTCCGAAATATTTCGACTCAACAGTCTAACCTTGGCTGTGGCTGGAGCAGACTTTTTCAAATTGCCTTCTTTGAACGTGGCCGGAAGAGTATCATCCACGAATATTGTAGCCTGGTCGAGGACTTCCTCCATGAATGATATGAGATTGGGGCGTTCGCTTGAGTCGACTTTGCCAGCTTGTGATGGACTGCTCTCGGCAGACCTGGTGTGTTCTGAATGAGGGATGACCAGAGATTCGAGTGCAGGGTGGGCCGGTAATTCGTTGATGTGCAGTGGAAGTAGACGCACAAGATTGCCTAATGGCGCCATTGTTGGATTCAGGAGCGCTGTTGCTTCTAGATAGTGAACAAGGCAGAGTCAAAGCAACGTATAGAATGAACTGATATTCAGCAGTAATAATGACAAGCAAAGAGGAATGTTGATACACCGTTACGACATATAATTAATGATTGAACTTTGAGCGAGTGTAGTGATAAAGTACTTTAACTTGCGATGAATGTTCAAACAGTCGCGGAAGTCGATGAGCAAATGATTGCATTTTCTATCCTCGGGAAGCGGCGGCCCGAACCCGTTACCAAAATAAATCACTCGCTCACTCGTAAGTCGTAAGTCGTAAGTCGTAAGCTGGGGGGAAGTTGCCCTCGAGTGGTACTTTACTCCTACTCCTACTCGACAGACGTTGACCATCTTCAGCCAGACGCGCAAATTTGTACGTATTGGAGACTCGTTGAAGGAATTTGAGTCCTATCGTGTCGGTTGGGGGTACAAAGTAGCGGTACCTTGTTTATTAATCGATAGACGGCTCTGGCAAACAAATACTTGCTTAGTTTTCGTATTGAGGCCCGTGGGGGCAGCGACTACACATCGCAAGCCAGTTTTTCAGTCTGGCTCCGCCGTGAAACAATAAAAGAAAGGAAAAGGAAAGGAAAAGTACAGCACCAAGATTCGCAAGTACCTAATTTCGTTGGTCTACAAGCCTGGGCGCTTAGATTCGTCGGCTTAGACCAGCCCCCCTCTGATTAGGTAGCGTGGCGGCTACAGCACGAGATCCTTGTTCTTTGCAGAACACTACCTCCGTACTCGGTACATAAGTAAGTATTACGACCGGGACGACCGTGACGACCGTGACGAATGAAGGCATGATATCAACAGTCCCTGCCGCTTCACCTAATTTCCACATATCACTCGTGCGCAGCAATCACCCAGACTGGCCTGCTTGACATCAATTCTTCGACAAGGCTATTTATACCCTCATTTCCTTAGGCCGACCGATTGTGCGAGCTCACTCAAGCACTAAAGCATGAGCTCCAGCGGCGTACGTCATGGCAAGCCCGGCGATGAAATGTTTCTTCAGAGACCTTTGGCCGAAGATTCGCCAACTATCGAACCATTAAGGATATACAAACGCGACTCATGCTCCCCAGAATCCGACAATCAACATCCACCTCACATACACTCCGCTGCCTTTGCTCTTCCTCCCGGCGCATCGAGCTCACCGGCTCCACTGCCCTACCCAGATGATCGTCAACGCTTCCAACCACGGCCTGCCAACGGTCGGACGACAACAAGCGAACAGGGCAGAGTCTCGCCAGCATACCCTGCTTCGCCTCCTCGCGTGGGTTTTGCAGAACCTGCAAGACCGGGTGTGCCTGAATACCCGTCTGCGCTACGCCCTCGAGGAGATGCCCAGTCAAGCTCCAGGTTGGCAGAACGAAGGGCAAACATACCGAAGCCATTGCCGGACTCACCGGGACCAGAAGCCCCAGACAAAGAAGGGCTTTTCCAGAGGCTGCCGCAGAGAGACAGAGAATCGTCAATAGCGGACGCCCGAAAACCGTCTCAGGCTGAAGTCAATCCGTACCCCGATTACTATCAGCAGTACTGGCCACCTCCAGGAGGGTCTACTTCTGGTGACTCAGCCCCATCTGGAGGCTTGAATGTTCCGAACCCTGCCGGTGTGAATAGACTGAGTTCGACTGCCTCTACGTCGACTACAAAAGCTCAGCGTGGCTCTCCACCTCCCCCCGAAACCCCGATACTACCACCAGGGGACCCGCTGGGAGGGGGTATAGAAGCGCGCTACGCTGCGGCAGGCATCGCAGGTACATCCACATTGACAAGCCTGCAAGCTCAGAATGCAGCTGCCGCACACAGAGCAGCCCAGTACCCCCAGCCTGCGAGAGCGCAAGAGTCGGCAGCGCTGCAGCAGCCAGACCAGACGAGAAGGCCTTGGACACCTACAGAGCAGCCTGGAAGTCAGCCTCATGGGCCTCCGACGGTATACCAAGGCCCCGGCCAGGCCTCTGGCTCACCTCCCGTACAATCGCCGATCCCTCAAGGGCAAGTTACTTCTCCATCCTCACAAGTGGGAAGGACTACCGCCTCAGCAGCTCTGGAACAAGATTTTCAACGAATGCATGTCACATCGTCTCCTCCACCCGCTTACTCGCCAGCTGGATCCTCCGCCACTGGGACACAAGGTTATCCCAACGAGAAACATTCTCAAGCAGTTGGAGGTGACGCCGCGGGAGCGACTGTTGGAGGTGCAGCAGGAGCGGCTGCGGCGGTGAACTCTCGAGCAGAGTCCGGCAATCAAGGCCACCCAGCATTCGCCCATGACTCTCCTAGACCTCAAGTGACAACGGCGCTACAGCCACTACAAGCAAGCACTCAAGCCTCTATACAAGTGCCGGCCAAATCATCTCCTGGGCCTGCTGGTCCTGGGCCTGCTTCACCTCCACCTCTTCCAGAGGGCTGGATCCATCACCTCGATCCCAACTCAGGCCAGTATTACTACATTCATCTACCTACCCAATCTACACAGTGGGAGTTTCCCAAGGGGCCAACACCTCTCAATCTCAATGAGCCCCTGTCACCAACCGGTAGTGTCAACTTTGGAAATGCGCTTGCATCTCCAGGCCTTAGTGCGTTCAGTGGTAAGCCATTGGCATCTCCAGGATTTCAGCCATCCACACCAGGTTATCAAGATAGTATCATGAGCATGCAGTCCTCAACTCCTACCGTAGCAGGCTTTTCCGGACCTCCACCAAGTGCAGGCGTGGATATGTACAGGATTGCGCCTACTAATGGAGTTTACTTCGGGCCTTACCTAAGGTATACCAATATGGATCTACAGAGGGGCATTTGGCTGGGGTCAATATTGCTCATCACCGACGCTCCTCAACCTCCCACTATACATATCCACCAAAGCGTAGATCTCTCTCCAAACCCCCGCCAACTGAAAGCCAGCCAAATCTCCGTTCATCAGCGCTGGACTTTCTATCGGTATGATGTAGATCTACAGATGGAGGAGCATACTAGTGCAAAATGGACCTATGCCATAACTTCTCATCTTGGCTGCACAAGATATGAATTCTTAGTTGCGGGCCGTAATGAGACGAACTGGCGATTCATTGCGACTTCTGGCAACGACTTCTCGCTCAATGTCAATACCAATGAGCGAGCTCGTGTGGGTGGCATCGGTCATATGTGGAAGGACATAATGCAAAAACACGTCGAGTGCGGTGGTTTCCATACGCAGCTTGGCTTGGGCGATCAGATATATGCCGATAGAATATGGAAGGAGATTCCTTTACTGAAGCAATGGCTAGCAATGAGTGGCAAAGAGAATAGAAAGAACGCTCAGTGGACGGCCAAGCACGAAGAAGATGTCTCACATGCGTATTTCCATTATTATACCAGTCATTTCGACCAGCCATACTTGCGAGAAGCTTTTGCGCAAATACCGCACGTTTTGCAGATTGATGATCATGACATGTAGGTTCTCAAACTCGCCGTGAGCGAAAATCGGCATGAAGACTAAAAGCTTGCAGTTTCGACGGTTTCGGATCATACCCTGAATACATGCAATTTTCTAACATGTTTAAGAATATTGGCCGAGTCGGCATAGAAATGTACTTGCTTTTCCAGCACCACACGACTCTGGAGATTCTCCGCAACGTGAGTACGGACACCGATATCTTCACCATTACTGGCACTGGTTGGCATTTCGTGAAGTACCTTGGGCCTGCAGTCGTCGTCGTGGGTCCGGACTGCCGATCTGAGAGGAATCCCCATCAGGTAATGGCTGGTCCAACGTACCAGGGCCTCTTCCCGAAAGTCGCAATGCTACCGCCTAGTGTGCAACATTGCATCTGGATGATTTCGGTACCAATCGTGTATCCAAGACTGGAAGCGGCTGAGCAGATTGCTCACACCGTTGCAACCGGTAAGAAAGCCGTGACCGGTGCCTACAACCTCTTGGGTAAAGTGACCAGCTCGGCAGCTGGAGTTGTGGGTGCTAAAGGCGTTGTCGGCTCTGGCTTTGACTCTGTGAAGAAGGCTGTCGGCAAGTCTGGTCTCATGGGCGGGATATTGAGTCCATTCGGCGACATTGACATGCTCGATGAACTGCGCGATCAATGGACGCACGAATCCAAGGTAAGCCCTTATTACTCGCCAGTCGTCGAAAGTGTCTCATGCTAACTCCCATCAGGATCTTGAACGCACTTACCTCATTCGTACCCTTCAGAGTATATCCCACCAAAAGTCAATTCGTATGACTTTTCTATCAGGTGCCGTCGATTGCTGCGGTGCTGGTATTGTGCACGATCCGGCAAAACCATCTGATCACAAGACCATGTACCAACTCATATCTGCCTCTGTCGTCAACACCCCCCCTCCATCTTACGTCCTCAAGCTTCTCCACGCCTCCCAGAAACCGCTATACATCCCACAGAACGGACACCGCTCGAATAATGCGCCGAGCGATACAAAGGAGGACATGATGGAAATATTCGCTGCAGAGCCAGATGGAAGACAGCGAGATATGAGGAAGCTAATGGGCAGGAGGAATTATGTGGCAATTGTGGCTTACGATCCGGAAGTTGTGACGGGGACCTTCGGACAAACGAACATGCATGGCACAGCGACTGGGAAGTTGAGCTTGGCCGTAGATTTCATGGTGCAGACCGATGCAGCGGGGATGGGGGCGGTGGGGGTGAGTAAATATGGGCCTGTCATTGTGCCTAGTTTGGAATATGGCAGATGAGGGAGAATGTCCGGTATGGCAAGCGGGTTCATTTGGATTTAGCATGCCATGATTGTTCTTTGTACGGCTTAGGTGCACGAGTACTAGTGTTGTGCAGTCACATCATGGAGCTCACAATTTGTTTACCACGTCAAGTAAAAATGGGTATAGATAGCACAAGCCATCGATAACCGGAGAGCATTTCCTTCTTCGTGAAGTATAATCACGCACCTTCTCCTATGGGAAGTTTCCAGACAAGCAGAAAAATCACAGCTTGTGT